TCCAAGCAGAAGCAATTGTCCCATCCTATTGAAAAAACTCCCACAATACCTGTCAGAATCCTATCAGTCTGTAGGCAGAGGCAGTCTCTGGAGGCTTTGAGTTTTTGCCTGATATATCAGTCAGAAAGAGCTTAAGAGACATTGTTGTGGGGTCGAACCCTGGGTTCAAAATAAGACCACCGAAGGCTGATGATTGATTAAAAAAACAGGCAAGGATTTATTGAAATAACTGGCCAGGTCAGCCGAGAGAGCACCACATGCAGGTGGACTCCACACGACTGCACCGTTTCAGGGGTAGGCAGTCCCTTTTAAAGGTTCAAACCACAGGAATTTTCCTTTGTTCTAAATTCTAAATCCTAAAGACTACATTCTAAAGACATGCCGGATGTTGGAATGTGACCCTATCTTGTGATAGCCGATAACACGGAAGCAGAGCTCAGAGGTTATCTACAGTTTCTATCTCTGAAGGTTATTGAGTCAGTGGGAATTAATCTCCTGTGGTCCTGGTCCCAGGCAAGGGAAAATTGCCTTAGCCTCCAGGTCTCTACCTGAAAGCTAAGGTAAATATCCCGTGTTTAATCAGGTGCAGGAGCCAAACTAGAAGGGTTAAAATTCAAACAGCAGTTTTTACCAAAGTATGGTTGCCACTATGTTTCAGCATAGCAGATCTAATACATTGTCACGAACCCAAAAAGGCAGCCAAAATGGGGAGACAAAGAAACACTAGGTCAAATGACAGTTCCATATTTAACTTTTTGAGGAACCTCCATACAATTTACCATAATGGGTGCAGCAGTCTGCGTTCCCACCAGCAGTGTACTAGGGTTCCTTTTTCTCCACAACCTCACTAGCATTAGTTTATTGATGTGGAGAAAAGGGATCCCTAGTACACTAGCCATTCTGACAGGTGTGAGGTGATACCTCATTTTGCATCTCTCTGATGATCAGTGACTAAGCATTTTTTCATGTCTCTTGTCCACTTTAGAGAAGTGTCTATTTAGAACCATTCCCCCTTTTTTAATTGGATTGTCTTACTGGTATGGAGTTGTATGAGTTCTTTATATTTTTTTTAATTAACCAATTATCAGATGTATCTTTGGAAAATATGATCTCCCATTCAGTGAGCTCCCTTTTCATTTTGTTGGTTTCCTTTGCTGTGCAGAAGCTATTTAGTTTGATGTATTTGTTTATTTTTCCTGTTTCCCTTATTCTAGGGCATATATCAACAAGTTTTACTGTCTATGCTTTCTTCTAGGTCAGGATTTTTATGGTTTTAAAATTTACATTTCAGTCTTTTATCCATTTTGAGTTTATTTTTGTCCCTCATTTTTCATATTGAATGTTTTATACTTCAGAGTTTCAAAGTATCTTTTACTCATGTAATCTGCTGTCGATGCTATCTGATGTGTTCATTTTATTGTTTTCTTCATTTAAGTCTGTTCTGTGTGTTTTTTATGGTTTCTAAATGTGAATTCTCATTAAGTTCATCTATTCTCTCCTTAAGTTGTTTGAATAGCCTCATAATCTAGTAGATAGCATGCCTTAATTTGGTTTTAGCTTTTTTTTTTGGGGGGGGGGGCCTTTTGTTCTGTTCATTTTGACATTTTTGTTTCCTCATTTTAGCTGCCCCTCTGTTTGTTTATATGTGTTGATAGATCTGCTTTGTCTCCCAGTCTTGGAAGTGTGTGTGTGGGGGGGGGGGGGGGGGGTCAGGGGTGCCTTATGTGGTAGGTGTCCTATGGGGCCCAGTAGATCCCTGATCACCTGAGCGAGGTATCCCAGGGGTTCCTTTATGTGGGTTCTGTATGCCCTCCTGTTGAGCCTTAATTGTTGTTGACACATCAGTGGATGGGATTGACCCTCAGGCTGTCTAGCTTTGAAAACTGGCCTTGAAAGCTGGCCATACTATAGCAGATGAGCTGTTGTATGGGTGGTGACTGCAGGAATCAGAATTCATTTTAGCAGGGCTCTGGTACCTGCTAAATTTGTCACTTGGGTGCATTGTTTGTGGTGCTAATTGGGTGGTGCTCTGAGGTGGTGTGAATCTGTCCATCAGGTGTGTTGACTCTGAGACATCTTGAAGGCAGTTATAATGCAGATCTAAGGCAGAGTCTGTTTGTGCCTAACACAGGGGCGCCTGATAGGAGCTACAAATGGATCTGAGGTTTATAGCTGCCTATGCTGTGAACCAAGACTGGCTGCTACTAATGCCAGATTTGAGGCCACTTAGAAGTATTGAACATGCAAAGGCCAGACACTACGTCCTTGGGATGTGTGGACCTTTGAGAGATTTAGCAAAATTCAGAATGGCCTGAAGTCAACAGGTTGTGAAGAACAGCCACTGAAAAAGTTTTGGGTTTATGGGAGAGTTGGTTATAGCAGTCTCATGGAATCACCACACAGGGGAGAGCAATGTTAGCCAAACTGAAGGAGGAAAGATATGGCACCCACCTGAGCCTGCTTGCTGTGTGTGTCTCAACAAAGGAACAGTTGCACGTGCCAGCACTTCTGCCTGGAACAGAGCTGGCCCTTCATTCCTGGCCCTGACACCAAACAATTCCGTTCCTCCCCATATGTCCTTGGCCCTTTTTAAACTGTTGCACCAGTACTGGAGCTTGGAGCAAGTGAGTTCATCAGGGAGTAAGTACATGCATGGGCCCTTTAAGAGGACACCTTTAAGACTATAGCAGTCCCTGTCTCACCTGAACAGAATCCTGCCAATTTTCACAGCTACGTGTTGTGGAGACTCTTCCAGCACTGGTGGTCCAGGCTGGGGGAGCCTGGTGTGGGAATATGACCTCTCACTCCTCTGGGAACTCTGCAGCTGAGATATCCCTCCTGATTCTCAACCACCACACATAGGTTAGAACCAGTCCATTTTGCTCTCTGCTCCTCTTACCAACCTCAATGTGTCTTCTTGCAGCCAGCCTTCAGGTAAGTGGTTCTCAGGGGTGGTTGTTCTATAATCCAATTGTAATTATGGAATGGTCATGGGAGAGGCAAGCCCAGCATTTACCTGCTCATCCATCTTCATCCCCTTCACATTGCCAGAACATTTTCCCTTGCTTAAAATTTTTTATTTCATCAATTTCAGTATAAAATCCAAATTTCTTATCATGGCAAATAGTCCTTTTGTTATCTGGCTTCCCCATTCTACTCAATGTTTAACATCGCCATTCTCTTGCTCATCAGTTCTATTCTTGAGTTTCCACAAAGTGTAATTACATAGGCAGTCTCCTTTTATTTGAAATGCATAACACCTTCTGGAGGTGACTTAGCCTTTCAAATTCTGCCTGATATATATCACTGCTTCTGGAAAGCATTATTTGATATGTCCAGGTTTCCTTGGTTAGATTCAATCTCCCTTTTGTCCTGCTCAAATCTCTACATTCTTACACTGCAACATATTATCACAAGTCACCTATTTGCCTGTTAACCATATTTACATAGACATAATAATTTGCTTATTCATCTGCTAGTCCCTGAATTCCACCTCATTTTCCCAGACTCATGGCTTCTGGAAGGCCTATGACTTAAAACTCCCAGCTGTGCAGTTCCTCCCACAAACCTGGAATTTTTTTTTTTTTTTTAATTATTGAGTTGCTCATAAGTACTCCTTTTGTTTTCCTAAAATTGATACTAAAGAACTCCAAATAACATACTATTTATATCATGAAAAGACTGATGTACCTTTTAACATTTTGGCACAGTTTTCTTCTTTTGAAAACTCCTCTGTTGTGCCAGGACCGGTTTGGCTCAGTGGATAGAGCGTCGGCCTGCGGACTGAAAGGTCCCAGGTTCGATTCCAGGCAAGGGCATGTACCTTGGTTGAGGGCACATCCCCAGGAGAGGGTGTGCAGGAGGCAGCTGATCGATGATTCTCTCTCATCGATGTTTCTAGCTCTCTATTCCTCTCTCTTCCCCTCTGTGAAAAATCAATAAAATATATATTTAAAAAAAAAAAAACTCCGTTGTGAATTTATATATTCATACTAGAGGCCCAGTGCACAAATTCGTGCATAGGTGGGGTTCTTCAGCACAGCCTGCAGGGATTGAGCTGAAACTGGGAGTCCAACACCGCCAGCCCAATGCCGCCTGCCACTCCCACTTACCCCGGCCCTGCTGCACCTGCCATGGGCTTGTGACCAGTTTAGTCCTCGTTGGGAGAAGCTCATACTACTGAGTGGCACTCACCAGCCATAACCCTGCATCTGGCACTCTTCCTGAGGAGGGTGGGGAGGGGCCAGGCTGGGCGGGGATAAGATATCCCACTGATGTTTGCACCAATTGTTGAGAGCCACCTGGTGACTGCTTTTATATCATTTCTTCCTTGCACTGTCTAGAGAGGGAAAGCGGCCACAGTACTCGAGGCCTATTTCCAGGAGGCAGGAGGCAATCGGACCTGCAGAACTACTGATGGAGTGAGTGGCTGCTGCCAGGCTGGTGGGCTGCAGGACGAGTCAGTCAGCTGAGTGGCACTCTTATTTTTTCTTTTTTTTAATATATTTTATTGATTTTGTACAGAAAGGGAGAGAGAGTTAGAAACATCGATGAGAGAGAGTCATTGATCAGCTGCCTCTTGCACACCACCTACTGGGGATATGCCCACAACCAAGGTACATGTCCTTGACCAGAATCGAACCCGGGACCTTTCAGTCCCAAAGCCGACGCTCTATCCATTGAGCCAAACCGGTTTCGGCATGAGTGGCATTCTTGCAATGAGAGTGCACTGACCACCAGAGGGCACCTCCTGCATTGAGCATCTGTCCCCTGGTCATCAGTGCATGTCATAGCAACCAATCAATGAGCCATTTGGTAACTTAGGCATATATATATATATAAAATATAAAAATATATAAAAATATAAAAATAGCTTTAAACTTTACTGATTTTTCCATTTAATACATCTAAGATGAAAGCTCACATTCATAAAAACTTCAGAGAAAAAAATTCTGAGAACATAATTACAAGTTGGATACAAAATCCTCAACTCATAGCAATTACTAGAAGGCAACAGACTTTATTTTTATTTTTAAATGATATCCATGCACAAAGTTTGACATAAGTCAGGAAAGGTCAAATCTTAAAAACTGAGAGGTAATTTTCACTTCATTTTTATAGTTTATTTGGTCCTTTTCTCCTAAAAATGTATAATTTATTTTATCACATCTTTTATATGCTATTAAAATGTTATTTTAAAAAGTATTACCAGTTTATAGTTGTTTTGAGAAATCCAGTACACACAGCCCCACCCCTGGCCCAGACATTACTGACAGTAACATATCTAGTGTAATCGGCTGAGAAATAAAACAATTCTTCTATTTGACAAATGCCCAAAGTTAACGTCTCTTGATGTTAACTCATTTCAGGTTATTTTAAAAAGTGTCTACAGACAAGAACACTTTTGTCGTTATCTATTACACAGTCAAGACATACCTTTGGAATTTAATATCTGATGACTGAATTATAGAAATTTTTTTTAAATACCCATTACATTTATTCCATCAATCTCATGTTTTCTGATAAGCTTTGGTTTAAGGCTTCCATACATGCAAATCTACTTTCTAGGGGCTCTCTTCAGTATGAATTTTATAATGATTAGTAAGAGATGACCTGTGGTTGAAAAGTTTCCCACATGTAGTACATTCATAAGGTTTCTCTCCAGTATGAATTCTTTGATGAGCGATGCGTGATGAGCTTTGTCTAAAAGTCTTCCCACATGTATTACATTTAAAGGGTTTCTCTCCTGTATGAATCCTCCGATGTTGAATAAGAGCTGAACTTTGGCCAAAAGATATCCCACATTCCTCACATCGATATGGTTTTTCTCCAGTATGAATTCTCTGATGATTACTAAGGGATGAGTTACACCTAAATGTTTTTCCACACTCATTACATTTATAGGGTCTTTCTCCAGTATGCATTCTCTGATGTTGAATGAGAGCTGAACTTTGTCTGAAGGCTTTCCCACACACTTTACATTTACATGGTTTCTCTCCAGTATGAATTCTTTCATGAATAATAAGTGTTGAGTGGGAACTTAAGGCTTTACCACATTCATTACAATTATAAAACTTCTCACCAGTATGAATTATTCGGTGTCTATTAAGTCGTGAAATAGAAGTGAAGCCTTTTCCACATTCATTACATCTATAGGGCTTTTCTCCAGTGTGAATTCTCTCATGTTGAATAAGAGATGCACTCTGACTAAAGGCTCTCCCACATTCACTACATTTAAAAGGTTTCTCTCCTGTGTGAATTCTCTGATGATAACGAAGAGATGAGCTAGACTTAAATGTGTTACCACATTCATTACATAAATAGGACTTCTTCCTGGAATTAATTCTCTGACACCCAGGAAGGGATGTGCTGCAACTAGATGATTTCCTACCTGGGTTATATTTACAGGGGTTTTCTCTAGCATGAATTTTTTGATGTATGAAAAGGCCTGACCTTTGACTGAAAGACTTACCACATTCTTTACATCTATAGGATTTCTCCACAGTATGTGTTCTTAGATGTTTATAGAGGGATGTACTAAGAGTAAAGGCTTTCCCACATTCTTTACATACATAGGGTTTCTCTCCAGTATGGGTTATTTGATGTTGAATAAGAGCTGAACTTTGGTTAAATGCTTTTGAACATTCTTTACATTTAAATAATTTCTCTCCACTATGGTTTTTCTCATGTTTACGAAGAGATGAAGTGTTAATAAAGGTTTTCTCACATATACTACATTTATAGCGTTTCTCTGTTGTGTTGATTTTTGGTTGATTAATTACATTTAAATTCTGTTTGAAGCTGTTTCCTTGTATTTCACATTTTGGTAGTGTTCTTTCTCTAGGAACCACTTGCTTCCTAATAAGGACTGACTTTGGGCTAAGGTTTTGGCCAAATTCAGTATTTTTATGTCTTCTTTCTACAGTAAGAATATTTTTGTGAATGACTGAAAATATATGAACACTTCCTTTTTTCTTCTGTTTTTTCTCTAATCTGTCTTCATATATGCAGGTTTTTTCTGATTTGAAGATCCAGGGTCCATTCCTTTTGGATCTTTTCATTATCAACTCCTGAATTAAAGAATCTTGAGTTTGAGTTGACTTTGTGGTTTTATGACTGCTCTTCCATCCTGGAGGGGGGAAAAAAACAAACTGAAGATGTTTCATATGATACAGCTTTTGGCTACAGAGACAAAATGTATAGAATAAATAAACATTGATTATCTTTAAATAAGGTCTTGGTATCTGCCCAAAAAATAGTAAGAAAAAATTTAGATTTAAGCAGTACAGGAAAATAACCAATAAGAGCTGAAGTATTTGGAAAGAAAAAATAATTTTAAAAAACACATTTAACATGGTGAGTATAGAGTGACTAAGAGAATTGGTGAATGAAGAATGGAGAAAAGAAGAATATGAATTAGAAAAGGTAATCTGGAATCAGAGTCTAAAGCCCATGATAGATTCCTAAATTATCTTCATGACATTTCTCTTCTTTATGTAATCATTCCTAACCTGGAAAGTCTTCCTCCATTTCCCTCATGCCAAATTCCTTTGTATCCTTTAGATTCAATTAAAAATAAACTCTTCCTGAGTCTTTTCTTGACTCAATTGTCATATTCCATTCCCTTTAATATAGACCATACCAGTGTTTTAAAAATTATATATATATATATATATATATATATATATATATATATATATATATATATATATATAACTTTCCTTTTTCCCCATAAGTGTTATTTACAATCAGATTAACATACCCTATTAACCTCTAAATCTTCCTGATGGCATATGAATTATATGCAAAATGTTTTTGCTGATCTTTCTTAATTACATATATATTCCAAATTTGAAAAATGCCAAATATTCTCATTTATTTATACATTATTTTCACACACAAACATGATTCAAATATTTATAGAAGTTGCCTTACAGATCAGAACATTACATGGGTGATGGGAGGGTTTCAGGGCCAATTCACATAAGAAGGCAGTTTCACAAATAGACCTGAAGCCAAAAGTCAAGTTAGGAAGCAGCCTTGCTCATGCACCAAGCATGAGATAATGCAAGCAAAGTAAAAAAGTCAAAGATCAAGAATAAAATAGGCATAAATATAAAAAGGGATGTGCGCACCCACCTTCCCTCTCTAATGCCTGTGCTGCCTCTAGCTCATGGAGCTCCAGCCAAAGGAGAAGGGGGGTAAGTAAAGAGTCTCTATACCATGGCTTGTACAAAGCAGACTACCTGCAAATCAAAGAAACTGGCTACCAAAGCCGCTCGAAAGAATGCTCCCTCTACTGGAAGAGTGAAGAAACCTCATCATGCCAAAACCGGTTTGGCTCAGTGGATAGAGCGTCGGCTTGGGGACTGAAAGGACCCGGGTTCGATTCCAGTCAAGGGCATGTACCTTGGTTGCGGGCATATCCCCAGTAGGGGGTGTGCAAGAGGCAGCTGATCGATGACTCTCTCTCATCGATGTTTCTAACTCTGTATCTCCCTCCCTTCCTCTCTGTAAAAAATCAATAAAATATATATATTTTTTTAAAGAAATCTCATGGTTACAGGCCTGGTACTGTGATATCAGAAATCTACTAACCTGATTCACAAACTTCCCTTCCAGCATCTAGTGCGAGAAATTACTCAGGACTTCAAAACAAACCTGTGTTTCCAGAGTGTAGCTGAGTGCTTTGCAGGAGGCAAGTGAGGCTGATCTGGGTGGCCTTTCTGAAGACACCAACCTGAGTGCTCTCCATACCAACGTGTAACAATTAGGCCAAAACATCCAGCTAGCATGCCGCATACCTGGAGAACATGCTTAAGAATTTACTATGATAGGAAACATTTTGTTATTTAAAAAAAAAAAAAAATTCTCTTCTTCCTTTTATTGGTAGTTCTGAATGTTAATTTTTCCCCCCCATGGGGTCAAAAAGGTACCTAAGTATATGATTACAAGTTGAAAATAGGGGACAGAAATCAGGCACTGGCAAATTTTCCATTTTTATTTGTGTATGAATTTTTTAAATCTAAATGCAGGGACATAAAACATTAATGCAAGTCAAATGTTTCAGTGAACAAGTGTTAGCAGTTCAACTTTATAACAATATAAATAAACCTGTTAAATTTTTCTGGACAATGCCAGCATTTGGATTTTTTTTAAAAACAAGTAAATTTCTTCTTGATGGCAACTAAATGGTGTTTGTAGCATTTTTATCATACAGATTCCATCCATTCAATATACTTTTCTAACTTAGTTGTCCTACATGCAATACATGTTTTTAATGTTGTCTGTCTTCTGTGCTGTTCCTGTAAGTTTGCTATTAAAATACATTAAACGAAAAAAATATATACACACACATAACGTTAAAAAAAACATGGGGGGGGGGGGGAATAATATGATAAAGTGGTAAAGAACAAAGCTGATTTCAATAAATATTAAAATTAGGTAAGAACACAATTCATTGAATATTAAATTTTGCCAGGGGAATGATTGTGCACATAGTTTGGCATTTTATTTTGGGCTAGGGGTAATCATATAAAAGGCTCCTTTGCATCTCATTTGAGATTCCCATCTTACATTCACTTTCATATGAATGTGTATATATTTCCTCTACTTAGTGAACATAATATATTCCACTTTCCTCCTTTCTTCTACCAGTATTCACTTCTCAGATTCATTCATGGATAACATTTCCTGTGCCCTCTTTAAAAAGTAGTATTCCTTAGGCTTTGGGACTTTTTATTTATTTTTTTTTTTCATTCTACATAGCCTCCCTGACTAATTTTATATGCACCCATATCTACTATTTATTGTAAGGGAACCAGGAGTTTTTTACTTCCTGCCAAACACCTTCCTAGTTCCTTCTCTCCATTTAAGTCTTGATAAATTAAATGATCAAATCTCAATACATTATTTGGGTAAAAGTATGAAAGGCAGTCACAAAAAATGAGGTAATTTCTTCAGTGACTATATTAGTCATTGGTTCTAGGTTTGGTATATGTGCTGAGGAGAAGAAGATAGTAAGATTCTGCAATTTGGATTCTAGTTTATAATAAAGTTAGAGATCCTGCCTTAGGCCTGTACATAAAAACTGCAGTTTTGTGACCAACACCTTTACTAGAACCCTGAGCATTTGGCATAGGTACTCAAATGGTATTTTGTTCCTCATGCTTTACTGTAGTCTCCCATAGTCTCTTAACTAGTCTCCCTGCTTCAAGTTTATACAACAACTCTCTACCAATTCAGTTCTACACTGTAGGCAGAGTCATCTTTCTAAAATCTATATCTTATCACGTTACAAACTTCCTTAGATCCTCCAATTTATCTTTAATAGTTTATATATAAAGTCCTGAGTACTTAAGATGGTGATCAAGGTATTTCATGTTCTGACCTTTGTCCACCTGTCCTCATCTTCCTCCCCTGGCTTCTTGTCAGGTATGCTGAGCTATATGCAGTTTCTGAAGCACCCCATGTTTTCTGTATTTCTTTATCTTTGCATGTGCTGCAAACATTCTTTCCATTAACAAATGGTTATTAACTGCCTACTATGGGCCAGGTAATGTTCTAGGGAAGGCGATGACTAGGAGTTCTGGAGCTTATACTTCAGTATGTGTGTGTGAGAGTGCTGGGGGAAGTTGTGAAATGAAATGACAAACAGTAATTAAAAAAGCCATATGGATATGTGAAGAAAGGGCTTCCTTGGCAAAGGAAACAACAGCAAACACAAGTGTGGTGACTTCAAAAGAACAGCCAAGGGGCTGTGTACCTAGAATGCAGAGAGCAAGAGGGAAAATTATAAATAAGACTAGAGCAACAGATAGGGCCAAGTCATATTAAGGCCTCATATGTTATAGTAAGGTCTTTGGAATTTTATTCTTAGCATGATAGAAAGCCACAGGAAAACTGCATGACCATACTCAAGTTGGCTAGTATGCAGAGAACAGACTGGTAGGGCACAAGTAGAAGCAGAAAAGAAATAAATCATGTAAAGACTACTACAGTTATGTAGGCGAGAAAGGAGTGGATGACAGATGACTGCATCAGGATCAACTATTAAGGAAATGCTAATAGGACTGAACTTGCTGATGTGCTGTAGGATGGGTGCTGAGAGGGAATTAACAATCAAAATCACATCTTCCCCCTTGGAAGAGAGCCAGCCGAAGGCCTCCTTCCCACTCCCACTCCCCATAGTGAGGACGCCCTCTACATACTGCCATGGAAATTTTCCATATCAAGTGAAAGGGCAGAATGACGTGTGTTGTGTACTATCACTGGAGTGGACAAAGGAAAGAGTATATTCAGGAATATTTGTTCATATATGCATGGAAGAGCTCTTCCAGCTACTGCTGCTTCAAGTCTGACTACAGTATCTTACACTTCACTTCCTCTTGCTCACTCACCATTTGCTTGGCTCCATTCTGGCTTCTGTCCTCACCACTACCCTTGCTAAGGCAACTATGCTCTCCATATGACTAAGACAGATGCTCTTTCCAGGTCTCATCTAATTTCTTCTCAGCAGCATCTGATAATGAACCTTCTTTTCCTGGAGACATTCTCTTCCTAAGCTAGTGAAGCCGAACTTCCCTCCACGTTCTTCTCATTGTTCATCAGCCTCACTTTCCTTGGTGGAATTCTCAGTCTCCTTTGTGCACTTACTTTACCTCCTCTTTGATCCCTAGAGTTCCTCAGGGTTTAGTACTAGGCCCCCAAATCTTCTCACTCTACACTCTTTCCATGAGCCAGCTTTCATTAGAAACTTACACCTCATGCATGACTTCTCTACTCTCTACACCCATTTATACAACAACCTACTCCAAATAGCAATTTAAATGTCTCAAAGACACCTCAAATTCAACATGCCTAAAACTCAGTTCATGATTATTCCCTCCAATCTTTTCTTTTATATATATTTTATTGATTTTTTTACAGAGAGGAAGGGAGAGGGAGAAAGAGCTAGAAACATCGATGAGAGAGAAACATCAGCTGCCTCCTGCACCCCCCACCACCACCACCACCACCGGGGATGTGCATGCAACCAAGGTATATGCACTTGACCAAATCAAACCTGGGACCATTGAGTTGCAGGCCAATGCTCTATCCACTGAGCCAAAACAGTTAGGGCTTGCTTCAATCTTTATAATCCTTCAGCTCTGTAAATGACACCAGTTCTGAATTAAACCTTTAAGAGGCATCATTAATATCTCTCCCTAAGATCCCTCAGCTAATCGATTATCAAGAATTGTTTATTCGCCCTGGCCGGTTTGATTCAGTAGATAAGAGTGTAGGCCTATGGACTGAAGGGTCCCAGGTTCGATTCCAGTCAAGGGCAGTATCTTGGTTTGGGGCACATCCCCAGTAAGGGTTGTGCAGGAGGCAGCTAATCGATGTTTCTCTCTCATCTATGTTCCTAACTCTCTATCCTTCTCCCTTCCTCTCTGTAAAAAATCAATAAAAGATATATATTTTTTTAAAAAATTGTTTATTCTATCATCTAAATATGCCTCAAAAACATTTATTTCTCCCAAGTTCTATTAATAACAATCCTACTATGACCCTTTACTTCAATGTCAACTGACTTTCCCGAATTCCCTCTTATCACACACCTCCATTTGCTTTCCCTATGGTTTCATTTCTCTCTACCTTAACCTAATATGCCAGAGTTCCTCAAATTTAACTCAAAGCTCTTTCTTGCTCTTCCTATAATCTGAACTCCATAAATTAAGTAAAATTCAGCCACTGTTTCAATTAGCCTACCTTGACCGGAATCTCCCAAATTTACATTTCACACCAAGTCTATATTCAAAGGGGTGGTACTCCAAATCTAAGAGACTATTTAAAATCTCTACTTGGATAATGAGGTCAATCAAAGACAACTATATTTAACACATCCAAAATCAAATTTATATCATCTCTCAACTCTGATCTTCCAGTGTCTCTAGCTCAGTGAATGCTGTCACTGTCCATCCCAAAACAAGCCACAAACCAAGCAAGCATCCTGGACAACTTAATCTCCATTTTCCATATCCAATCCACCTCCAAGTCCTGCTGCTTTTGTCTCCCAAAAGTCTCTGAAACTGGTTTGCTTCTTTCTGTCTCCACCAAGTCATTCATACATTCAGTAACTGGAAGTCTACTCTGACCAGGCACTGTTTTAAGTACTGGGGTAATGGGAACAAATAAAACAGACAACCCAGTATAAGGGCATTTACAATTCAAAGGAAGAGACAGATACTAAATATGTACTATTAGGCAGTGATAAGCACTCTCAGGAAAATAATGCATAATGAGGGAGAAAGGATGAGGAGAAAGGACCCAAGATGGCAGCAGAATGGGTGGGAAGTTACACTGACCTTCCAGAACTACACTGGAATTACAACAAAAATACAGAACAACAAACAAGCTGAATAAGCAACTGAAGACTAGCTGAACAGGAGTCTTTTAACCAAGAACAGATAGAAGCAGCCACAGAAAGGTTGGTAGGAAGGGCTGAGATGGGAAAGTGTTAGCCTCACACCCATGAGCAGTGGCTAAAAATCCAGAGGGCTATCTCAGCTGCAAAGGTCTCCCCTGATTAAGTGGAGTTTTAACCCCTATCGGGCTAGCCAGGAGAGCCCAGAAAAGGAGTCCCAGCCGAAACTAGTTTGGCTCAGTGGATAGAGCGTCAGCCTGAAGGGTCCCAGGTTCAATTCCGGTCAAGGGCATGTGCCTTGATTACCAGAGCATCTCCGATGGGGGGGTGGGGGGGGGCGGGAGGTAGCTGATCGATGTTTCTAACTCTCTCTCCCTCTCCCTTCCCCTCTGTAAAAAAGCAATAATTAATATATTTTGTTTTAATTTTTTTTTTTTTTTTTTTAAAGAAAAGGAGCCCCTATAACTTTTGGCTATGAAAGACAGCAGGAATTCTGCCCACCAGGGAGAGACAGGAGTCTGACAGAAACCCAGGCACCCTCTTAAAGGGCCAGCACACAAAATCTTGTTTGCAGACATTTCCTTGGGCTCTTGCAGAGGAAGGCTAAGAGTGGATGAGAGTTGTGTGAGGAGAGATGGAGTTGTGTGGCTCTGGGAAAAGAGCTGAAAGGAGAGCCAACAGGGTCCCTGTTCTGTCTCCCTCTCCTACACTGCCAACAGACACCATCTTTCTTGGGTTGAGCACTTCCTGGAGGAAAGCAATAGTTCCTCCCACCGACCTCCCTCTCATCCCACCCTCTGGAGCTCATGCCCAGTGGAGGAGTCAGCTGCCCAGGCCTGGGATGTGTGTGCATATGGGCAGACCCAGGGAGTGTCAGAGACTAAGTTTGAGATCCACTAGCCCCACTCTCTGCATTCCTGGAGGCCCACCCTTCGGAGCTCAGGCTCTCAACAAGGCCTGGGCAGAATCTGGGACAGACTGCCTGTGTGGCTCTAGGAAGGGGGCATATGTCCCTCACACACCTGGCAGGTGCAGAGCCCTCGCTTCGGTTTGGGCCCAATAAACTCTGCTGCCCTCCCCAACGACTCCCTTACACCAGCCCCACCCTGAAGGTCAGTGGGCACCTGGTGGGTGGCCACTGGCCACAGTGTACCCCAGGGCTTTTGCTGAATGTCCTCAGGCCAGCACTGGCACCAAGTCCGAATCTGTATCAGTGTGGTAAACACCCCTCACCTATCTGGTGACTCACTGAGAAGCTACCTCTGAAACTCGCACACTTTCTGACACTAAGCCAAGCAGGCAGAAGCAGGCAGGGGCTAATCTCAGGGTGACTGAGATTTGCACCCTGTTAGGTTAGCTCAGTGCTAGTACAATAAAAGCTGGCCTCGGTGTGTAACTTGGCCTTCCTGCATGCACCCAGCCCAGCGGAGGCAGCCCAAACCTGTGCATCACTTTGCAGTTCCAAACAGGTTGCCTAGGGCCAGTCACGAGTAGTGTCAGACACTGACCCACATGAGTCCCTTTCAAGAGACCCACCACCAATACACCCCCTGCCAGGCTTCAGACAACATCGAAACAGGATCCCATTAGCTCAACAAGTACATCCAAAGGGAGAGCTAGCAGGAACCAGACCATCCTGAGGAGAGTTCTGCTTCATGTGGTCAGCACCCACAGTGCCTTGCACGCTGTGGTCAAAGTCAGTCCTCACAGTCAGCCAGCTTGAGAGTTGACCCCACGTAGGGGACATTCCTAGAGCACCCAGCTCAGATGGTCAGGAAGACTGCGTCACTAGGTCTCTCAGGACACCTACTTGGTGATGCTACCCTACCAAGGCTGGCAGACAGCAACCTCCTCGCGCCTCACTCCCGTCTGCGCACGCTGGCCTCCTTTCTCTGGAAGCTCACATGTGCCCCCTCTGATGTCTGGAATACTGGTCCCCATCCTCAGATCCGCCCTTCCTCAGGGAAGCCTTTGCCAACACCGCTTCCTCCCAGTCTACATTCTCAGCATTCTGGATCCTTCCCAGGAGGTCCTGGCCATTCCACACCCTGTGCGCACTCAGCTCATGGACACTTGTCTCCCTATTCGACAGCAAGCTCCACCAGCACAATCTGTGTCCTTCTGTCCCCATGTCCCACCCCAGCAGCCTCTCCCATTCCTCTCCTGATTCTTCTCTCTAACCCACCTCATAAATGTCAAGATTTCATGGGACTCTGTCCTTTGCTCTGTTCCCTCACTTGGTCAGCTCAAGGCTTCAAATGCCGCCTTTGTACCAAAAGCTCCCTGACCTCCCTCAATCCCAATCCCATACACCTTACACAGCTCTAGTAGAGATCTCCATGGGAGAACTCTACTAGAAGAAGAACCTTCCACGGCTCTTCTTGCTGCAACAGGGAGATCACTTTTGGTTTGGAAAATAGGAGCCCTGTTCAGACAAAAAAAGACAGACTTGGTTTTGTTTTGACACAAAGAGGCAGCTCAGATCTGAGGGGAAACTCGGGGGGTGGTACAAAAGCTTCTGAGGGGTTTTCAAGTTGTGCCCACACGATGTGAGAGGTGTGCGAGGAAAAAGGAAGGGACTTGTAGCACACGACTAAGTAATAATTAGTTGTACATTAGGGAAAGAGGAAGCTCATGTCTGGGTCCTTGGTGTCCATGGGAGAGCTCTACTAGAGCACCTCACTCACATCTCAAATGAAACCAATCCACACTAAATCTGTCCTTTTCCCGTAACAAGCAGCCCCTCCTCTTCCCTGCTGAGCCCCACTGCACGAGCCTTCATCCCTATTTATGTCTTGCCTACATTATATAATGGTCTCCAGAAACCTCCTATACCCAGTTTTGCTTCACTTTAAACCTATCCCCTGCAATGCTTCCAAAATCACTTTTTTTAATTTCAAATTACTAATGAATTATTCTCCATGTGAAAAAGCAAAAGATTACATATAAATAACGTCTCCTTTCATCCCACCCATTCTGGACCCCATTCCAACCTTACTATTACCAGCTAAGCTGTGCCCCTAACTTCTCTATACATTACACCTTAGACAAATGCCCATGTAATTTTCTTTAAACATCAATGAGACACATGACACCAATGCCCCTGAACTTGCTTCAGTCCTTGACTTGGCTTGGAGGGAGCTCTGAGCACGGCAGGTGCTCTTTCTGGCTGTAGGCTCCTTCAGCGGGACTTTACTGAAGGACATCACATTGTTTCTGATCCAGGCTAATGTTTCTAAAACGTCAATGGCCACAGAATTCTTCTGCCTAAAATCCTCTGCAGTCACCCATCGAGCAGTTCACATCCCTAAGAAGTGTACCAAAGCACTTTATCATGGGGCCCAATCCAATTTTCCAAAATCGTTCCCTTCATCTCCTTTCCCCATGCACATACCCTGAGCCTTACATACACCACGTTAGTTGAATGAACATGAGGACACGGTCCTCCTCTGAAACAACAGGAAAGAATAAGAAAAGGTCCTGACAGTTCCATTACGAAGTGATCAGCAGGGCGAAGGAGGAAGCTCATTGCTGGGTCCTCGGCATCCCTTCTCCACCACTTCTGAGAACCAACAGCCCTGGAGAGCCTTTCCCAGCCATCCTCTGCAAGCCCCGCCATCCACCTACAACAGACCTTCGCCTGGTGGTTCCTAGGCACCTCAGCCCCACTCACCCAGAGAGGAGCCCCCAGGACGCTCTTCCTCCACCTTCCACGGCTCCTCTCCTTGCTGCAACAGGGAGATCACTTTTGGTTTGGAAAATAGGAGCCCTGTTCAGACAAAAAAAGAAAGAAAGAAAAGACTTGGTTTTGTTTTGACACAAAGAGGCAGCTCAGATCTGAGGGGAAACTCAGGGGTGGTACAAAAGCTTCGGTGGGGTCTTCAAGTTGTGCTTGAAAGGGCAGGGCGGGGCGAGGATGAGCTCCCAACTCCGCCCCATAGGGCGGAGTTATCCCTAGCCCTCAAAACCCCTGGACTGGGAGAAATTCGCTCTTCCGCCATGCTGCCGGCATGAGTGGGAGGAGCCCATTGCTAGCATGGTACAGGCTCTTTTGTTTATTGCATCGGACTCGGCTCCCTGGTGGTCCTTGGGGATCACGAAGTCTGGGCATAACAATGCTCACACGATGTGAGAGGTGTGCGAGGAAAAAGGAAGGGACTTGTAGCACACGACTAAGTAATAATTAGTTGTACATTAGGGAAATAGCATAAACATCAGCCTTGATTAATAGGGTGTTATTGGCTTCCTATAGAGATGAAATATGTTAAACGTATAGACTGAATTAAATTTGTAAACAGGTATTTATGGAAAGGATTATGTACCGAGTAGCTTGTTTAAAATGAGAAACACAATCTGACTCCCTTTAATGGTGGCAGTGGTCAGCAAAGTATGCAAAATCGAGCCCACTGTCTAAGGATGCCCTTGAACAAAGAATGGCTGACAAAATAAAAGCAGAAAGTTACAGAGACCACATGTGGCTCCCAAAGCTTAAAATATTTACTACCTGGCCCTTTACAGAAAGTCTGCTGACCCCCGGAAAAGACAAGTAGGAAAGGCCAGTGATAGGTCCAGAGACTGGACAAACCCCTCTGCTAAGAGACGTGAAAACAAACCACAGAACAATTGGTGTGAGGAAATAATGCCTTCACCCTAAAGAAAGTCCTAGTGTGTAATTATATAACAGGAGGGGATGATTATAGCCGCTCCCCATTCCCATGGCCAATTCCCTGCCTACAGGGGGAATGTGTTTTTAATTTATTTTTAGAGATAGCCCATAAGGACATTCTCACAGCAAACTCAGCAGAAATTTATTGGACAACCCATAGCACTTACTCAGGGAAGCAGGTGCTAAATTAGCTCAGTTTCTGAACTGGAAAAGAGAATTGGGAAAGGGAAGGGGTAGGTCAATGAAGAGGATGCTCCACTCCCTGCTGAGAGGTGAGCAACCAAACACAGAACAATGGTGATGGGAAATAATGCCTCAGTGGGAGGGCATTTCTAGTGTGGAACTGCAGGCTGTGCCTTCCGTGGGCAATTCAATGCCTATAGAAAGGGAAAGGTTTTCACTATTTATTTTTGGAGATCCAAAGTGTACAATCCTCAGGCAAAACTCAGCAAAAGTTTCTGATGACCCAAGGCTTTTATTCAGAGAAGCAAGTGCCGAGTTCCCCCATTTCTATAGGGAAATGTCCCTCTAGGGAAACTTCCTTACCCAGCGAGACCAGGTTATTGTAGTTTTCCAGCATCACATCCTGGTACAAGTGTCTCTGAGGAGAACGCAGCTTTCTCCACTCATCCCGCGTGAACAGCACAGCCACGTCCTTGAACGTCACTGACATCTGTAAAGACAGGCCATCCCAGCTCACCCAGGATACCCACCCCGAGTGAAGAAGGTGGCAGTGGGGCGGTAGATGGGCTACTAGGAAATGCTTATTCAGAGATTTCCACAGACCACTCCTCGGGTTCTATTAATTTGCCACAGTGCTCACAGAACTGAGAAAAACAAGTTCCTTACAAGATTACCAGTTTATGATAACAGGATGAACCTCTGGAACAGTCCATGAGGAGAAGCACAGGGCAAGCTTTGGGGAAAGGGCGGGAGCTTCCCCCTCTGGGTGTGCCCCTCTCCTTTACTCTCCACATGTTCACTCACCAACGAGGCAGCTCTCAGAACCCTGTCCTTTGAGTTTGTATGGAGGCTTCATTACAAAGGCATAATGGGTTAAATCACTGGCCATTACATGTACTCAACTGATTAACTCATGACAGGACTGAGTCAACCTCCAGCCTAAGACAGGCAGCGGGGTAGAAGGCTGAAAGTGCCACCTTCTAGTCAGGGTTGGCTTCTCTGGCAGCCAGCTCCAACCTCAGGGCTTTCCTAGTCACCTCATTAATACCAACTGGTGTGATTGAAAAGGGCCGGTTATGAATAACAAAACAAAACCACTTCATCTTTATTGCTCTGAAGTTATTTTAGGTAAAACACCCACATATTACTAATCACTTAGGGAATTATAAGTGCTTTAGAAGCTATGTGCTAGGAACAGAGACAAAGACCAAACATATATTTTATATTATAAATCATAATATCATAGCTGCTCAGTGGTAGAGATAGAATTCCAACTCAGGTGGATGTCCAAGGTGCCATTCTTCACCTCTTCACCAAACTCCCTGTCAATACCTACTCATAGGTCAAGAAATAAATGAGATAATCCATATAAATGGAGATGGACAGTAGTGATTGCCACACAACGTGAATGTGCTTAATGCCACTGCATTATACATTCAAAAAGGGTTAAAGTGGTAAATTTTGTCACAATAAAAAAGTTTAAATGATAAAATACATACATATGTACATATAAACAAAGATGTATAAAATTAATATTGAGGTATGCATACCAAAGAGCTGATGGTGATTATTTCCTGGTTGGGGTAAGAGTGTGCTTATTTTTACTTTTTGTTAATCCTCATCCAAGAATACTTTTCCATTTATCTTGTAGAGAGAGTAGAAGAGGGAAAGACAGAAACATCGATGTGAGGGAAACACATCCCAACCAGGGTTCGGGCCAGGGAGGAGCTTGCAACCAAGGTCCGTGCCCCTGACCAGAATCAAACCCGGGACCCTTTAGCCACAGGCTCTATTCACTGAGCCAAACTGGCTGGTGTAGGGTAAGAGTGACTTTAATTTATTCTTTATATATGCACTAGAGGCCCAGTGCACAAAATTTGTGCACAGGGGAAGGGGGGGCCTCAGCCCAGCCTGCACCCTCTCCAATCCAGGACCATTCAGGGCTCTGCGCTGTGCTCTGAAGATCCCCAGAGCAATGGCTGGACGATAACAGTGTGAACTTAAGAGTCCACAAACACTTGGGTTTGAATTCAGGTTATTGACTTCTCTGGGCCCCCGTTTCCTTATGTGTAAAATGAGGAAAATATGTCCAGCTTGTGTTGCTCAGTGGTTGAGCACTGACCCATGAATCAGGAGGTCACAGTGTGATACCTAGTCAGGGCACTTGCCTGGGTTGTGGGCTAAATCCCCAGAAGGGGGATGTGTAGGAGGCAGTCAATCAATGATTCTCTCACGTCACAGCTGTTTCTCTCTCTCCCTTTCCCTTCCTCTCTGAAATCAATATATTTTTTAAAACATAATAATAAAATAGGGATAATAACTGTTACAGTATTATGAGAGTGAGAACAAAGGTGAAGCCCTCAAGGCATTCCCAGCAGCATTGCCTGTTATTATCAGATGAAGATGAGTAAAGAAAGGGCAAGTATTTATGGGTCCTATGAACATTACATAATTCTAGAGGCCTGGTGCACAAATCCTTGCACTGGGCCTCTAGTATGCATACAAAATCTTTGGCTAATCTCTTCCCGCCCTTCCTCCTCCCCACTTCCCTCTGAGATTCATTAGTCTGTTCCATGTTTCCATGCCCGTGGTTTCCTCTCCTGCATTGAGCACCTGCCCCTTGGTAGTCAGTGCGTGTCATAGCTACTGGCTGGTGAGCCAGTTGGCCAGTAGCTTAGGCTTTTATACATAGACTATGTAACTACCTAGCGACATTAATGGTATTATTACTAGAAAAACATTGTTCAGCTACCATGATGATATTTTGCTAGGCCCTGCACTAAATATTTTGCATGCACTAGTTCATATGAGCCTCTCACTTAACCTATAAGGTAGGTACTTTTTGTTATTTCCATTTTACAGGTGAGGAAACTGACATACAGAGAGGTGAAACTATTTGCCCAAAGCCTAGAAATGACAACAGAGGACATGGGTTCAAACCTGCCCATCTAGCTCAAAAGCCCTACTTCCTAACCATGTACATACTGCCTCTCTACTACCAAAATCCCATGAAACCCTCCCTGTGATTCTTCTCTCTGTCAGACCTCTCTGACTGTGTGCCCTCCAGTATGGCTATCTTTTGTTCAAGCACTGGCTCGCCATATGGGGCCCTCCCTCACTCACACACATAAAGTTGAAAACTGCAGATCAAGATCAGTTTTTAAGAATGGAGAAGTACGGCACAAGATCAAAGTTAAGAGGGAGGTGGTGAAGGCCTGGGTCGGAGCTGGGTGGGTTAGCATGGGAGAAAATAGGGAACATATGAAATACCTTCAACAATAAAGATTTAAAAAATAAACAAAGGTAAGAGAAAGAAAAAATTTAATACTATGGATTGCAGAGCCTGGGGAAGGTGTCCTGAGGATTCTGAGGGTGGAAAGAAAAAGAAAAGCATGACTGCCAAGGGCAGGGAGAGAGACGAAAGTGAGCGGGGATGGAAAGGGGGGTGAGCGGGGAGGGAGACGGGGTGAGCGGGGAGGGAAAGGGGGGTGAGCGGGGAGGGAGACGGGGGTGAGCGGGGAGGGAGACGGGGTGAGCGGGGAGGGAGACGGGGGTGAGCGGGGAGGGAGACGGGGGTGAGCGGGGAGGGAGACGGGGGTGAGCGGGGAGGGAGACGGGGGTGAGCGGGGAGGGAGAGGGGGGTGAGCGGGGAGGGAGAGGGGGGTGAGCGGGGAGGGAGAGGGGGGTGAGCGGGGAGGGAGAGGGGGGTGAGCGGGGAGGGAGAGGGGGGTGAGCGGGGAGGGAGAGGGGGGTGAGCGGGGAGGGAGAAGGGGGTGAGCGGGGAGGGAAAGGGGGGTGAGCGGGGAGGGAGACGGGGGTGAGCGGGGAGGGAGACGGGGGTGAGCGGGGAGGGAGACGTGGTGAGCGGGGAGGGAGGGGGGGTGAGCGGGGAGGGAAAGGGGGGTGAGCGGGGAGGGAGACGGGGTGAGCGGGGAGGGAGAAGGGGGTGAGCGGGGAGGGAGACGGGGGTGAGCAGGGAGGGAGACGGGGGTGAGCGGGGAGGGAGACGGGGGTGAGCGGGGAGGGAGACGCGGGTGAGCGGGGAGGGAGACGGGGGTGAGCGGGGAGGGAGACGGGGGGGGGGGTGAGCGGGGGGGGAGACGGGGGGAGCGGGGAGGGAGACGGGGGTGAGCGGGGAGGGAGAAGGGGGTGAGCGGGGAGGGAGACGGGGGTGAGCGGGGAGGGAGAAGGGGGTGAGCGGGGAGGGAGACGGGGTGAGCGGGGAGGGAGACGGGGGTGAGCGGGGAGGGAGAAGGGGGTGAGCGGGGAGGGAGACGGGGGTGAGCGGGGAGGGAGACGGGGGGGGGTGAGCGGGAGGGAGACGGGGGGGGGGAGCGGGGGGGGGAGACGGGGTGAGCGGGGAGGGAGACGGGGGTGAGCGGGGAGGGAGAGGGGGGTGAGCGGGGAGGGAGACGGGGGTGAGCGGGGAGGGAGACGGGGGTGAGCGGGGAGGGAAAGGGGGGTGAGCGGGGAGGGAGACGGGGGTGAGCGGGGAGGGAAAGGGGGGTGAGCGGGGAGGGAGAAGGGGGTGAGCGGGGATGGAGAAGGGGGTGAGCGGGGGGTGAGCGGGGAGGGAGACCGGGTGAGCGGGGAGGGAGACAGGGGTGAGCGGGGAGGGAGACGGAGGGGGGGTGAGCGGGGAGGGAGAAGGGGGTGAGCGGGGAGGGAGACGGAGGGGGGGTGAGCGGGGAGGGAAAGGGGGGGTGAGCGGGGAGGGAGACGGGGTGAGCGGGGAGGGAGAAGGAGGTGAGCGGGGAGGGAGACGGGGGTGAGCGGGGAGGGAGACGGGGGGGGGAGCGGGGAGGGAGACGGAGGGGGGGTGAGCGGGGGAGGGATGAGCGGGGAGGGGAAAGGGGGGTGAGCGGGGAGGGAGACGGGGGTGAGCGGGGAGGGAGAAGGGGGTGAGCGGGGAGGGAGACGGGGGTGAGCGGGGAGGGAGAGGGGGGTGAGCGGGGAGGGAGACGGGGGTGAGCGGGGAGGGAGACGGGGGTGAGCGGGGAGGGAGACGGGGGTGAGCGGGGAGGGAGACGGGGGGTGAGCGGGGGGGGAGGAGGGGGGGGAGCGGGGAGGGAGAGGGGGGTGAGCGGGGAGGGAAGGGGGTGAGCGGGGGTGAGCGGGGAGGGAGACGGGCGGGGTGAGCGGGGGGGAGGGAGACGGGGTGAGCGGGGAGGGAGACGGGGGTGAGCGGGGGGGGGGAGAGGGGGGTGAGCGGGGAGGGGAGGAGAGGGGGTGAGCGGGGAGGGAGAAGGGGGGTGAGCGGGGAGGGAGAGGGGGGTGAGCGGGGAGGGAGAGGGGGGGGTGAGCGGGGAGGGAGAGGGGGGGGAGCGGGGAGGGAGTAGGGGGTGAGCGGGGAGGGAGAAGGGGGTGAGCAGGCGTGAGCGGGGAGGGAGACGGGGGTGAGCGGGGAGGGAGAGGGGGGTGAGCGGGGAGGGAGAGGGGGTGAGCGGGGAGGGAGCGGGGGGGGGGGGGGGACGGGGGTGGCGGGGAGGGAGACGGGGGTGAGCGGGGAGGGAGACGGGGGGTGAGCGGGGAGGGAGAAGGGGGGTGAGCGGGGAGGGAGACGGGGGTGAGCGGGGAGGGCGAAAGGGGGGTGGGCGGGGAGGGGAGACGGGGCTTGAGCGGGGAGGAGAGGGGGGTGCGCGGGGAGGGAGAGGGGGGTGAGCGGGGAGGGAGACGGGGTGTGAGCGGGGATGGAGACGGGGGTGAGCGGGGAGGGAGACGGGGGTGAGCGGGGAGGGAGAGGGGGGTGAGCGGGGAGGGAGACGGGGGTGAGCGGGGAGGGAGACGGGGGTGAGCGGGGAGGGAAAGGGGGGTGAGCGGGGAGGGAGAAGGGGGTGAGCAGGGAGGGAGACGGAGGTGAGCGGGGAGGGAGAGGGGGGCGAGCGGGGAGGGAGACGGGGTGAGCGGGGAGGGAGACGGGGGTGAGCGGGGAGGGAGACGGGGGTGAGCGGGGGGGGGAAACGGGGGAGACGGGGGGTGAGCGGGGAGGGAGACGGGGGTGAGCGGGGAGGGAAAGGGGGGGTGAGCGGGGAGGGAGACGGGGGTGAGCGGGGAGGGAAAGGGGGTGAGCGGGGAGGGAGACGGGGGTGAGCGGGGAGGGAGACGGGGGTGAGTGGGGAGGGAGACGGGGTGAGCGGGGAGGGAGACGGGGGGGGCGGGGAGGGAGACGGGGGGGGTGAGCGGGGGGGGGGGGGGGGGGGGGTGAGCGGGGAGGGAGACGGGGGTGAGCGGGGAGGGAAAGGGGGGTGAGCGGGGAGGGAGACGGGGGTGAGCGGGGAGGGAAAGGGGGGTGAGCGGGGAGGGAGACGGGGGTGAGCGGGGAGGGAAAGGGGGGTGAGCGGGGAGGGAGACGGGGGTGAGCGGGGAGGGAGACGGGGGTGAGCGGGGAGGGAGACGGGGGTGAGCGGGGATGGAGAAGGGGGTGAGCGGGGAGGGAGAGGGGGGTGAGCGGGGAGGGAAAGGGGGGTGAGCGGGGAGGGAAAGGGGGGTGAGCAGGGGAGGGAAATGGGGTGAGCGGGGAGGGAGACGGGGGTGAGCGGGGGGGGGAAGGGGGGGGAGCGGGGAGGGAGAAGGGGGTGAGCGGGGAGGGAGAAGGGGTTGAGCGGGGAGGGAGACGGGGGTGAGCGGGGAGGGAGACGGGGGTGAGCGGGGAGGGAGACGGGGTGGGGGGGGGGGGGGGTGAGCGGGGAGGGCGAGGGGGGGGGGACGGGGGGGGAGCGGGGCGGGGAGAGGGGGGGGGGTTGAGCGGGGAGGGAGACGGGGGGGGGTGAGCGGGGAGGGAGAAGGGGGTGAGCGGGGAGGGAGACGGGGGTGAGCGGGGAGGGAGACGGGGGGGGGGGGGGGGGGAGGGGGGGGGGGGGGGGGGGGGGGGGGGGGGGGTGGGGGGGGAGGGAGGGGGGTGAGCGGGGAGGGCGAGCGGGGGTGAGCGGGGAGGGAAGGGGGGTGAGCGGGGAGGGAAAGGGGGGTGGCGGGGGGGGGAAGAGGGGGTGAGCGGGGAGGGAGAAGGGGTGAGCGGGGAGGGAGAAGGGTGAGCGGGGGGGAGCGGGGGGTGAGCGGGGGGGTGAGCGGGGAGGGAGAAGGGGGGTGAGCGGGGGGTGAGCGGGGAGGGAGAAGGGGGTGAGCGGGGAGGGAGACGGGGGGGGGGTGAGCGGGGAGGGAGAAGGGGGTGAGTGGGGAGGGAGACGGGGGTGAGCGGGGAGGGAGAAGGGGGGGGTGAGCGGGGAGGGAGATGGGGGTGAGTGGGGAGGGAGACGGGGGTGAGCGGGGAGGGAGACGGGGGTGAGTGGGGAGGGAGACGGGGGTGAGCGGGGAGGGAGACGGGGGTGAGCGGGGAGGGAGACGGGGGTGAGTGGGGAGGGAGACGGGGGTGAGCGGGGAGGGAGACGGGGGTGAGTGGGGAGGGAGACGGGGGTGAGCGGGGAGGGAGACGGGGGTGAGCGGGGAGGGAGACAGGGGTGAATGGGGTGGGAGACGGGGGTGAACGGGGAGGGAGAAGGGGGTGAGCGGGAAGGCAGGGCCAGGAAGGAACTCTGCCAAGTGAGACTTTTATTTGTTCTGTCCCCAGTTGAGCTAAGACACAAGTTATCTGACCTGTCATTAGTAATCATGTAGAGAATTGAAATTAATAAGAGTGTCTGTTAGGGAAAGAAAAGAGAACACCACACAGGGGGGTGGGGGGAGATTCACTGCGCAGGTGGACCAGCTCTTCAATTAGGAAGACCTGAGCTCCAAATCCTGGAGAAGACTGCATAGGTGGAGAACTTCAGTTCAAGGGAAACAGGAAACAAAAAAGAACAAACAAACAAGCATCTGTCCCGGAGACCTGAGATGCAGTGACTCACCTGAGAGCTTGCTCCCCTCGGCTCAGCAGCCATGTCCGCTTGCTGGGCTCTTCAGCCCGAGGATGGGCAGCGTCTCCAGGAGGCTGAACTGAGAAGAGAAAAGGGGCGCCAGGAGGGAGAAGCCCCTTCTATTTCCACCCTCAGACTCACCAGCTCTCAGATCCCTACACAGGAGAATGACTCCGAGTGCCCTCCGAGAGGGGAGGCGGGGGAGCGCGGGGCAGACTGGACCAGAGAGAGACCGGCCGCCCAGGTCAGGCCCCTTCTCCCCGGCTGGGGGACAAGGCCGAAGGCTGCCAAGCAGCGCCCGTGTCATTCTGCCCCCGGCACCGCTGGCAGTTCTGCACCCCATTTTACAGGTCAGGGAAACAGGGCGGAGCGGGAGCGCTCGCCCCAATTCACAGCCGGCGAGGGCGACCCAGGACCCCGCCACGGCGCGCTCCGAACACCGCTCCAACCTCACGGCGCGCGTGCGGCAACTTTCTCCCCCACAAGTTTCCCCACCGCACCGCCCCCCGCGGCAAAGTTATCCACATCCAGATACGGAGAGAAAACGGCTTCGGGGGGTGAACATCCCTCCCTGCGGCGCGCGGGCTGCTGTCGGAGGAGGGGGCACGGACACCGCAGCCCGGGGTCCAGGTCCTCCCTCCCGCGAAACCCGAGCGCTCCGCGGCCCCCGCGAGGACAGGGGCGACGGCGAGCGCAGGGAACCGCGTCCTCACGGCGGCGGCCGGGATCGCCGGGCCGGGCAGGTGGCGCCGGGCCGGCGGGAAGGAAGAAGGAGGGTGGCGGGACCTCGGGCCCGAGGGGACGAAGTGCCGGACCTGCCGCGTTCCGGCGGCGTCTGCGGGCGGTTCCCGGGGGCAAGCGAGGAGAGGCGGGGCCCGGCCCGGCCCACCAAGGCCCCGCGCGCCCCTCGGCCTGTGCGGCGCGTCCTCCCAGGGCCGCCGCCTCCCCCGCACCCGCGGAGCCTCCGCGCTCACCTCCGCGCTCCGGGGCGCGCTCCGCGGGAGGGAGGCTCGGGAACCGCCCGGCCGGACCGCCGCCTCCAGCACAGACTCCGCCAGGGTCCGGCCGAGGCCTCACTCCCACGGCGAAGGTCCAGCGCCCCGCGCAGGTCCGGCCGGGGCGGGCAGTCTCTCTGGGAAATGGAGCCCACGCAAGAACCGAGGGTTCTGGGAACTGTAGTCCTCAGAGCCTGTGTGCGCTCCTGGTCAGGAAAGGGAGGTTCCGGAGGCAGTCTTCTCTGTATCTGCATAAAGATGTAAGGCAGACAGACCACAGGCAGGACCAACTAACTTCCCCTTGTCATTCAAGGGAAGTACACGTATGCCAACCCTGTTGTAGGCAGCTGGAAATGCGTCCGTGAGAAAAACAAAGGTCATTGTTTGTTCACTGCTCTCCAGTACTCTTTGAGGAGGTAAAGAGCATACATAAGCCATGAACATAATTATATAACTTGTGTGGACAAAAAGGGTACACATACTAACCTGATTAGCTCAGGGGAGGCCTGCTTGGCAGCCTTACAAACTCAGAGACCTAAAGCAACCACAAAGGCTGGTCTGAAATTAAAACTTTTTAAACTAAAGAGCCGTTTATGTTGTGTAGTCATGTCCTAGGCCTGTATCTTCCCAGACAAAAGTCAATCTTTACCTTAACTGAGCCTGTCGATTGTGTTTTTACATCTACCAAAACATATTGTTGGAATGTCAAAGTAATTTTCCTTTTTCCATACCTTCTCAAGGCACAGGTACTGCTCTGCAGAGATGCCCTCATTGTTATTGAGTTAATTGTTGACGGTTAACTATCCTGCACCCACCTATATAAGAAAGTATACATCTATCATTTTACTTTTCATCCAACAATCCAAGCTTTCTCCACTTTGATTTCTCCTTAATCGATTACTAATGGATTTCATGTAACCCACTTGTGTCTACTCCTTTCATTGCAATGTATCAAACAAGGTGCATTCTCTCCAAGCATTATCTCAACCCATTGAAATTCTGCTTTCTGGCATTTGTTGATGATTTGGCTCAAATAAACTCACAAAAGGTTCAAGTGTCTCTAATGTTAGGGTTGCCGAAGGAGGAATGCACAAGGCAAAAAGGGGTAAAGAATATAAATTTACTAGGGGCCCAGTGCACGAATTTATGCACCTTGAAAGGAATTGTGGACCATGAGGCTGCAGTGGACACAGGAGTGGGTCTCAGCCTATCTTCCATACCCCCACCCAGCCCCTCTCACCGTGGCCCCAACCCCTTGTCTGCAGGCAGTCCCACTCCTGCTGCTACCACTCCCACAGACTTCTGGCACCGACCCCACTTGCACCTGCTAACAACATGGCGGAGCAATTGGGGCTGGTGCCAGCAGTGGGTGCAAGTGCTGGGCAGGATTGTGGCTCACAGGAGCAAAGAATTTTCAGTAACCACCAGAGGTTCACCCCAAAGACAGTGACCAGCCTTGCTCTGGCACCCCTACTCACCTGCTCCACCATCCCACCTGTGCCAATACCCACCATGTTCCACAAGCATCCCCTGGTGGTCAGCGCATGTCATAGTGACTGGTTGTTCAGTTGTTCCTCCATTTGGTCTATTTGGCATATTAGGGTTTTATATATATAGATTAGATCATCTAGATACCCAGATGGGCTGAGTCCCAAAATGGCACCAGCACCTAAAGTTGGGGAGTCAGAGGTTTTTAAAGGACTTTAGGTGGGCTTTGTCTGGGCAAAGAATTCTCTGTGCAGGCCCGGATTCTGGGAAAGTCTGGAGGAAAGAGATAATGGTCTCAGCAAGTGGAATGTCTGTTGTGAAGTGGCCTAAAGGTCAGTTCTCAGTGAGGGACTATTGATTCAATTATTGGATTGGTTCAGTAGCCATGTTTTTTGTCAAGTTTTAGCTACTAAAATCCCGGATAACATCTTACGTTGACACTTTTTAGATTAGAAGATAAGTGTTATGAGGGAAAGCAAAAATGTAGAATCAGTAGGGTGGCCCCTGCAGTCACAATGTGAGAATGGAGGGAAAAGTCCTAGGCAACATGGGAGGGTAGAGGCAGTCAGGTACTGAGAAACCAACGACAATTTTTAAAATTTTACTAGTTTCCATTTAAAAGGTTGATAATTTTTTTCTTTTTCTTTTTTTCTTTTTTTTTTTTGTTTTGATAATTTTTTTCTTAAGTAAAAGAAAAATGCACTTGATGCCAACCACGCAGAAACAAGTGGTTAACATTTTGGTGAACATCCTTTAACAGATCCCTGAACTACATATATTCATTATCAGTCAGTCACTACAGCTTTCATTTTAACAAAATGGAATATTGCAAATTGCAGTTGTAACTATCTTGGTTTTTTTTCTTCACTTAAGAATATGTCTTAATGATCCAAGATGGCAGCTTACATAAACACACTTAAACTGCTGCTGTGCACAAAAATTTCAAAACTACAGCTAAAAGACAAAACACCTATCACCCAGAACCACAGAAAAGCTGGCTGAAATGAAGCTCTACAACAAGCCTGAAAGGGAAAGGAGCATCCAAGGCATAAGCACAGAAAAACTGAGGTAAGGGGAGGCTGGGGGGCGTGCGAAACAGGCTGGCAACGGCTCCCAGCTGGTGGAGGATCCAGGCTGGCAGAGGATCCCAGCTGACGGAGGATCCTGGCTGGTGAAGGGCGTTGCTTTCTTCAACCCAAAGAGAGACAGGCTTCCAATCTCAGTTTCTGGGGAGAAGCTAGATTGTCTGTCATCAGGGCGGAAAGTGAGGGTGGCTTGCTTGCAGAGCTGTGAGAAAGAATAATTGTTTGCTGTGCTGGGTGAGAGAAGCAGGACGAGGTCAGAAGGCAGAAACAGCTGACTAGCAGCCATCACTGTTTGCCACATCCTAGCCTGTGATGCCCTGAGACTCCACCCCACACAATCTACAAACACACCCAAGCTCCAAGCAGTAGTTTTTGCATATGAATGGCCTGCTTTATTGCAGTTAAACCTAGCAAACTTGCAACCTGGTGCAGACAGCTCCAAAGCTTCCAAACTCCAAGCAGGGAGGAGAGGACTGTGGTTCTCGCTGTAGCTCCTGCAGGGTTGCCTCAGACAGTAGCTGAACTGCACCCCATTGGAGATCCAGAAGCCAGAGTATGTAGTGGTCAGTGTGAGACACCAGCTTTCAACTTCTTACATCCATAAGTAACACATTCGGGATGTGGACTCAGTGAGCACCAAAGCCCCACTGAAACAAGGCCTGCACCATAAGTGTGTCTCCAGTGCAGCAGTTATTCCATTATAGACACAGTGGGTCCTCACAGCCAATTGGCCTGGAGGTCAATTCCTCCCAGTGTACCAACAGCAATCAAGGCTTTGCACTCAGCCCACAAGGGGTGTACCAAGAGCAACCACCTCGAGTGATTGGGGAAGCTACTGGCCCCAATAGGTCACTGACCACACAAAGCCACTCCATCAACGCAGGGAAGCAACCAAAATGAGGAGACACAGAAGCATGTCACAAATGGGAGAGATGGAGGAAAGTAAACTACTGGACAACCCAGAGTTCAGAATCACATTTATATGGTTACTCAAGAATCTTCTAAAAACCGCTAAGAAACTTGAAGAGACCTTCAAGGACCTTAATGAGAATACAAAAAAAAAAAAAAAAAAAAAGGAAAAGGACCAGTCAGAAATTAAGCATACACTGTCTGAAATAAAGAATATACAGAAACTCACCGAAACCTGTTTGGCTCAGTGGATAGAACGGGCCTGCGGACTGAAAGGTCCCAGGTTCAATTCCGGTCAAGGGCATGTACCTTGGTTGCAGGCACATCCCCAAAGGGGGGTGTGCAAGAGGCAGCTGATCGATGATTCTCTCTCATAGATGTTTCTAACTCTCTATCCCTCTCTCTTCCTCTCTGTAAAAAATCAATAAAATATATTTTTTAAAAAAAGAAAAAGTCCTGCTTTCTAAAAAAAAATTTAAAAAGAATATACAGAAACTCAATTGTAGATCAACAAACCCCAAGAGTCAAACCAAAGATCTGGAATATGAGGAAACAAAAAACACCCAACCAGAGAGGCAGAAAGAAACAAGAATCCAAAAGTGTGAGGATAGTGTAAGGAGCCTCTGGGATGGCTTTAAGAGTGCCAACACCCGGATTTTTGAGGTGCCAGAAGAAGAGAGAAAGCAGGATATTGAAGGCCTATTGAAAAAAAATAATGACAGAAAACTTTCCTTACCTGGTGAAAGAAATAGACTTACAAGTCCAGGAAGTGCACAGAACCCCAAACAAGAGGAATCCAAAGGATACCACACCAAGACACATCATAATTAAAATGCCAAGAGCAAAAGACAAAGAGAGAATATTGAAAGCAACAAGAGAAAAACAGTTAACTACCTACAAGGGATTTCCCATATGAATATCAGCTGATTTCTCAACAGAAACCATGCAGGCCAGTCAGGAGTGGCAAGAAATATTCAAAGTGATGAATAGCAAGAACCTACAACCAAGATTACTCTACCCAGCAAAGCTATCATTCAGAATTGAAGGTCAGAGAAAGAGCTTCACAGATAAGAAAAAGCTAAAGGAGTTCATCATCACCAAACCAGGATTACATGAAATGTTGAAGGGTATTCTTTAAGAAGAGGAAGAAGAAGAAAAAGGTAAAGGTAAAAACTATGAACAACAAAAAGACAACAAATACATACCTACCAACAAGTGAATTTAAAAATTAAGTGAATAGAAAATCTGAAGAATAAAAAACAAAAAACAAAAAAAGGAATATGTCTTAGACATTTACTTAAATTTTCCAATAAGTACTAATTCCTCAGTCATGTTTTTTTAATGGATTCCGTTCATGCCATTTCACCTAATTAATTCTGTTGGTTAAATATTTTTAACTAAACTGAGTTCATTTATTAAAATACTAGAGGCCCAGTGCATGAAATTTGTGCATGAGGGGGGTTCCCTCAGCCCAGCCTGCACCCTCTCCAATATGGGACCCCTCAAGGGATGTCCAACTGCCCGATTTAGGCCCGATCCCACTGGGCCTAAACGGGCAGTTGGACATCCTTCTCACAATTTAGGACTGCTGGCATTCAACTGCTTGCCTGCCTGCCTTCCTGATTGCCCCTAACAGCTTTTGCCTGCCGGCCTAATCACCCCCT